TCAGGGGCGTTTTTTTTTTAAGCGTCAGCCCTATTCGCGCCAATTTACGAACCACACGGCGCAGCCCTGCCAAGCCACGACCGTGTGCTCTAGGCTAGCTATATCCATGCTCCCTGCTATTTTGACATTGCCTCAATCGTATTGTTTCCTCATTAATCAATCCTTCGACACACGCCTTCATTACAAGATACCGTCCCCTCCTTGGCGCGTAGACTGTACTGGATGTTTCAGAAGAGGGGCAAGTTGTTATGAATAATAACTCAGAGTGCGCGGAATAATAATGACGAGTACAAGAAGGATAGCCTAGCATTATATAGCGAGTGCTCTAGCTAGGCGACGAGCCCGGAGGGCTAGGTTGGGTACAGGCGCGGTCGAAAGGGTCGGAGGCGGCGCGGGCGTGCCTCGGGGCCGCGTCAGAAACGGACCGAGCCTGGTCTGCCGAGAGTTCGGGTGTACGCGATTGCAGTACAACCCGGTAAGGAATAAAATTCCTTACACTACCCCCCCCCCTAAGGAAGGTGATCAACATCGGGAACGCCTTTTCGGGTCAAATAAGATTTGAGCACCGAGTGTTCTTGAAGCGAGTCGGAAGGGACCCAGGTGTCGTCTTCGCTTGTACGGTCAACCCAGCGGACAAGAAAATCCACGTGGCGACCAGTGGAGTCGAGGCGGACTCGATGACTCAAAAGCCGGAAAGGCTCAAGTGTCGGTTCAGCCATCGGGCGGACACTTGGGGCGGCCGCTGGTCGTGCGACTGCAGACGTGCTGGCGACGTAGGGACGAAGCAGGCTGACGTGGAACGCGTCGTGAATGCGCCACTCGTCCGGAAGTAATAATTTCGCTGTGACAGGTGTCACCATCTTGACAATACGAAAAGGTCCACAGAATCGCGGGCGAATTTTTGAAGGCAGGGGCAGGCGAAGGTTCTTTGTGTCGAGAAGGACTAGTTGCCCTGCAGCCATGGTGATATCGCGGCGATGAAGATCTGTGTAGCGGCGGGCGGTTGTGTTGGACTTGCGAATGAATTCGATCGCTTTTTCGCGGGCCGCCTGCAAACTGTTCACGAACTGCTGGGAACGTGGCACTGGGTTGTCGATGTTGGTAGTCGTCGGGACTGTCGGATCCATGCCGTAGTTTAGAAAAAATGGCGAGTGATTAGTCGTGGCGGATGGGGCATTGTTGTACGAAAATTCCAGCATGGGCAGGAATTCTTCCCACCGGGCAGGATCCGGGCAGTTGGTGCGTATCAGCTGCTCCATAGTTTGATTGGTTCGCTCTGTCTGTCCGTCGGTTTGAGGATGGTAGGCGGAGGAAAACTGGAGGCGTGTGCCGTACTGCCCCCACGTCTCCTGCCAGAACTTGGACGTGAATTTTGGGTCGCGGTCGCTGATGATCGCTGAGGGTAAGCCGTGCAGACGAACAACGGTGGAGATGAAAAGCTTCGCTGTATCTTCGGCTGTGATTGTTGTGCGACAGGGTGCGAAGTGTGCCATCTTCGTCAGACGATCGACGACGACCAGGACGGCGTCGTTGCTCGTGGCGGCGGCTGGGAGCCCCGTGACAAAGTCCATCGTCACATGTTGCCATGGTCACTGGGGTGGCTCGAGCGGTTGCAGCAGTCCAGCTGGCCGCCGTCGGGAAGACTTCATTCGTTGGCAGATCGGGCACGCGGATACGTATCTCTGCACATCAGGCGCCGAATCAGGCCAATAATAAAAACGGTGAAGTAACTTCTGGGTTTTATCAACCCCAAAATGACCGGAGAGGTTAGAATCGTGGACTTCTTGAATAAGTAATTCGCGGAGGAGTTTGTAGGCGGGAACCCAGATGCGGTCAGTACCGGCTTTTAGAAAGTAGGGTCCTTTGGCTGTGGTGGCTTGTTGGTGGTGGTTGCGGGTGAAAAAGGGGTCTGTGGTATAGCCGTGGGTAAATAGGCCAGTGAGCAGCGGGTTGGATTTTGCGACGATGATTGAGGCGAGGTGGGCGGATGGTCTTGTTAGCGCGTCAGCGATGTTATTCGCTCCCCGTTTGTACGTGATGGTGTAGTGGAAGTTGCTTTCGAGGAAGTCCAGCCAGCGAATCTGCCGTGGATTTAGATTCGGCTGCGCGCGGAGGTACTGTAGGGATTTATGGTCTGTCCGTACTGTCACGTCGGCTCCCGTTAAGTAGCATCACCACACCTTGAATGCGTGCACGATGGCGAGCATTTCTTTGTCGTGGACGGGGTAGTTGCGCTCGGCTGCCTGCAACTTCCGAGACTCATACGCGATGGGTTGGAGTCCGTCGTCGAAATCTTGTAACAGTATCGCACCGATGGCGAAATCGCTAGCGTCCGTCAAGCCTTCGAATGGTCGAGATGGGTCGGCGATTCGGAGGACCGGGGGCGACGTCAGAGAATTTCGCAGTTCATCGAAGGCAGTCTGCTGTCTCTCCCCCCATTCAAAAAAAATGCCCTTCCGCAGCAGGTCAGTTAACGGTCCGGTTATCCCTGCCATATTGGGGATAAACCGCCGGACATAATTAACGAACCCGAGAAAACTCTGCAGCTCCTGTAAATTCGTCGGCGGCTTCCAGTCGCGAATCGCTGTGATTTTTTTCGGGTCGATTTTTATGCCGTCCGCTCCCACGACATGTCCCAAAAATTCCAGTTCGGATTTTAGGAGCTCGCACTTGGAGCCCTTCGTGATGAGCCGGTTTTCTTGCAGCCGCCGGAAAACTTGCTCAAGGTCCTTGAGGTGCTGTTCCTGTGTCTTGCTGTAGATCAGAATGTCATCAAGATAGACGATGACACACTTGTCGAGCAGGTCTCGGAATACGCCGTTCATGGTGAGTTGGAAAGTGGAGGGCGCGTTCGTGAGGCCAAACGGTATCACTGTGTACTCGTAGCTGCCATAGCGGGTTCGGAACACCGTCTTGTGGTAGTCGTCAGCGAAGACTCGGATCTGATGGTAACCGCCGCGTAAGTCGATTTTCGAGAAGAAGCGAGCTCCGCGAAGTTGATCGAGAAGATCGTCCGCGCGTGGGATTGGGTAGCGGGACTTGATTGTTCGTCGATTTAGCGCCCTGTAGTCGATGCACATTCGCAGCCCGCCGTCTTTTTTGGGCGTGAACAGGATGGGTGCTGCGAACGGGGAGGTGCTGGGCCGAATGAACGGGGCCGAATGGGCCGAAATAACTTTATTTTTTTGCCGTTAACCTTGCCTTCTACCAGCACAGGGTGATCTTCAGGTTTGCTCCCGTTATTCGTCCGAGTGCGGTCGATAGCGTGTATCGGTACCACAACTTGGTGGGAACGCTGAAGTTCGGGCGACAAAGCCTCGACAGTAGGGGGCCCGTCTGCTACTGACTTTTCCCATTTCCCGGCTTCTCCTTGTCGTTCTTCGTCTTCTTGGGCGCCGTCGGGCAGTACTTAGCTCGGTGACCTGGCTTGTCACATCGAAAACATAGCCCGTGAAATATTTCATCGGGCGCTGACACGCCATTGATCGTGGGGCGGGGAGACTGTCCACGAAAACGACCAACATCCCTGTTGTTCTTTCTCGCCCACTGCTGCAGTGCATCGGCTGCTGACGCCAGTTGGACGGCTTCATCGAACGTCTTGGGACGGGACCGCTGCAACTCGTATTGAATATCGAAATGCAGCCCGCTAACGTATTTGTCCCGTCTTTCCGCTTCGCTGAGGTCGTCGACTTGGTCCGCAAGTGCCGAGAACGACGCAGTGTAATCTTGAACAGTAGTCACCTGCCGCCAGTTGCGCAGCTTCATACGAGCGTCGTCTGAGGCGGATGAATGCTCAAAACGAGCTCGCAGAGCTGTGCCCCACTGTTTCCACGTGCGAATCGTGGTCGTACCGAATATTGTTTCTGCCTGTTGGTTTGAAGAGTCCGAAGTCCCGTCCTTCGCCTGCTTCACTCCTGCCGGAGTCCCAATCGCCAACTGTCGTCGCCACCAATCCAACGCCGGTCCTCGGAGCAGCGACACGGCATAATTAATGCGCGCATCATCGGTGTGCACACTTGCCGCCGTGAAGAACAGCTCCATGCTGAACAGCCACCCTTGCACCGTCGTCGCCTTGTCCGAAGGGTTGAACGGGGGCGGTGTTGCTGGCTTGAGTTTAATCTTCGTTACGGTCACAGTACGTACGTCGTCCTGCTCCAACTCCCGTGCGAGCTCGTCAAGGACGGTTTCGCTCTCTGCGTCGTCGGCACTTTGCTTGACCTCGTCTTCGGTGACTCCAGGCGACTCCTGACGCGCTTCACCACGCGTCTGGCGAAGCTCGGTGTTCTCCGTCCGAAGTCTCACGACTTCACTGTTCAAACTCGCCATCTGGGCTTGCATTGCCTGCATCTGAGCCATGACCTCGTCTAGCTGGGCCTGGGACATGATGCGAATGCTACGCCTTTCGGGCAGGGGGAAGGCCGTGATAAGAAACCGTAGGGGGCGCAAACGCTATCGTAGTTGTGTGAGCTAATAACTCTAGCCCACGGACAACCGCTTTGCAGCCCCGCAGGGTTAACCACGCCTTGGAAATAAACTACCCTGAGAAAGCGGGGTGAACCAGGAAAGTAGCTCTGATACCAGATGTTATGAATAATAACTCAGAGTGCGCGGAATAATAATGACGAGTACAAGAAGGATAGCCTAGCATTATATAGCGAGTGCTCTAGCTAGGCGACGAGCCCGGAGGGCTAGGTTGGGTACAGGCGCGGTCGAAAGGGTCGGAGGCGGCGCGGGCGTGCCTCGGGGCCGCGTCAGAAACGGACCGAGCCTGGTCTGCCGAGAGTTCGGGTGTACGCGATTGCAGTACAACCCGGTAAGGAAAAAAATTCCTTACACAAGTACTGTACTGTAACAAATCACCACATATCATCTCGTCCGCCCAGCCTCACGGTTCACAATCACAATTGCGCCCTTGGAATTGCCTTGCCTGCCACCAAAAAAACACAGCCCGCTCGTATCTATCCAAGCAGGGGAAACGGGCCAGCTTTTCTGTTCGGTTTCCTTGTAGAATTCCTCCATATGAAGAATCGTTTCTGTGCTCCTCCCTCTTCCGATCTGCGCTTCATTCCCCGTCGCGTCTAGGCTCGGATTTCTCAAATCAAGGCTCTAGCCGCAGTTCATTCAGGGAGAGTTTGAATGTTAGAATCAGCGTTCCTAGACGCATTCTGCAACGCGCGGCCTCTCCCCCTCCTCCGCGCGACGACGACGACCATCCCGCGACCTCGCCGGTCCAAAGCGAGGAGTACCTCCTCGGTCCTGCCTGCTCGGCGCGCTGCGAGCCCCCGGAGTCAAACCGCTACGGCTCCCCGCCTCGGGAACCGCGCTCGGCGCTCCTCGTGTCGGACAACCCCTTCTCCCACGCCGCGCTCGTGTGCCGGCGATGGCTGGCCATTGCGCGCTTCGCCGTGCTGTCGATCCGCGTAACCGACTCGGAATCGGAGAGTAACCACCTGTGCCCGCGCATGCTTGCGCTCTCGCTCTCCCGCGGCTTCCCCAATCTGACCCGAATTCATCTGCGCGGCCTTCACAATGTGGACTTTCTGGAACGCGCGTTCCTCCGCCCGCTCGCGGATTTCTGTCCGCGTTTAGAGTGTCTCGACATAGCGCATGTGCCGATCTGGTGGCCCGGAAAGCCGGAGTATAAGCATGGGGCGGGGGATAACGGCCTCGAGTACCTGTTTTTGAGGTGCACGCGGCTGCAGGACGTGCGGCTAGGGTCCATACGCGATATAGCACTGCTTCCGTACTCGCTTCTGGCCCTCCCGCGCCTCCGCGTGCTGCACCTGCGAGCACCGGATCTTCAAGAGGTCGACCACTTGAAGCACGGCGAGGAGATCAGACCAATCACGTCGTACCAGCTGTCCTCCTCCCTCCAGGAGCTCGACCTCTCTTGCTGCACCTCCCTGCAGTTCCCCGAAACGTTTCTTTCACTGCTGCCCGGACTGAAAAAACTCTCCCTTGGCCGCGGGAGCCCCCTCGTGTCCTTCCCTCCCTCCCTGCCTGCCCATCTCCATTCCCTCTCCTCCCTTTCCTTCACCAGCTGCAGCCAGCTCACCGCCCTTCCAGATTACATAAGCCTGCTGTCTTCCCTTGTTCACTGTGAGTTTGTGGACTGTCAACGTCTACAGCACCTTCCGCCCACTTTCCCTCTCCTGCCTCGCCTCCAGCGCCTCTTGATTGCCAACTGTGGATCCTTTTCAGCCCTTCCTGACAGTATAGAGCTGCTCACCTCCCTGCGGAGGCTAGAAGTTAGCGCTTGTAGATTGCTTTTCGAGCTGCCCGACTCTTTCACCGGCCTGTCGAACCTCGAGTGCCTAGAAATTACCGCCTGTGAAAACTTCGACAGGTTCCCTCCAGCTGTCCGCTCCCACTTCAGTGCGTTGACCCACCTGCACCTTTCAGGCTTACCAACGGATCTTAACCTGCCTGGGCTCCTCTCTCAGATGCCCGGACTTGAGATTTTCCATCTGCATCACTATGACCGGCACAGCCTCGCACACTCTCTCAACTCCCTCTCCTCCCTCCTCTCCCTTCACTTAGAGACTCTCCCCCGCCTCGTCTCTCTCCCCCCTGACTTCACCGTTCTTTCCCGCATCCAAGCCCTACACGTAGTCGACTGTGAGAGCCTTTCCTCACTCCCTTCCCTTCTCCCTCCCTCCCTCACTCTCCTCTCGATCTCCTGCTGTCCGGAAATCTCCGCCCTCCCCCCTTGTGTCTCCTCTCTCACCTCCCTCCACTCCCTTTCCATCCGCTACTGTTCAAGCATGCTCCAGTTGCCACCTACCCTCACGTGCCTCACCAGTCTAACGAGTATCAGTCTGGCGGGTTGCAGCGCTCTCAAGAGCATTCCAACAGGGCTTTGGGAGCTGCCACGGCTGCAGCTGCTGGACGTGGAGGGAGGTGAGGCGGTGGGGGGGATGACAACGTCTGTAAGCTTGCAGCGGCCGTAGGGAAGCATTCCTGTAAGCTTGCAACGTGGGGAGCATTCCTGCGGAGCTTAGGGAGCTGCAGCTTCTGGATCTGGAGGGATGTGAGGCGGGGGGGGTGAGGAGGAGGAGGGCATGTGAGGAGGAGGGAGGATGCGAGGAGGAGGGGTAACGAAACTGCGGGTGCCATGCAGGTTACCAGAGGTCGGGTTTCTGAGGTGCCTCAGACGGCGATTTTGGGAGTGCATAGGGAGTTGTAGGCTTCCGCATGCGTCCTCGTGGTGCCACGCATGTTCGCAGAGGCCAGCCTCTGAGATGAGACACACGACCCTATGTAAGTTCTGCAAGCTCTCAAGTTCCTTGCGTACGCTCGAGCCTTCTCTCCTCACAACAGTGCGTTTCTTGTGCTCCTTCCCCACCAGTACATGTGCTATTTGTCGTTTGTCATCACTCATGCATAAATGTATGGTTGTGTGTATGTGGTGTGTGCAGGGTAAGGCAAGAGGATGATTAGGAGAACGTCGAACCAAGTGAAGTCTTTTTAGTATTTATGCCCGGGAATTGCAATAAAGGTGTAACTGCAGCTTTGCTGATGGTGTAATTTTAAAGTGCTTGGTAGCTACACTAGCATAGCATTGATGTCAACTTATACATATTAGCTATGTAGAAGTTATAGGCTAGATTGAGGTATGCTTCTAGTGAGTACAACCAACTAGTATTTGTTCTAGGTTTCCACTTCTAGTCAATCATTCAGTTCTTACTTTAACATGGTATCACGCGTAGGTTAGAATCCCCCACCTACCGCTTCCGCCCGTACCCTAGCTACGCCCCGCCGCCCCCCCCCCCCCCTTGGGGCCCCGTCGCGCCTCCTAGCCCCGTCGCGCCCCTCCTGGGCCCCGTCGCGCCCCTCCTGGGCCCCGTCGCGCCTCCTAGCCATGTCGCGCCCCTCCTGGGCCCCGTCGCGCCTCCTAGCCCCGTCGCGCCCCTCCTGGGCCCCGTCGCGCCTCCTAGCCCCGTCGCGTCCCTCCTGGGCCCCGTCGCGCCCCTCCTGGGCCCCGTCGCGTCTCCTAGCCCTGTCGCGCCCCTCCTGGGCCCCGTCGCGCCCTGCCTGGCCCCGTCGCGCCCTGCCTGGCCCCGTCGCGCCCTGCCTGGCCCCGTCGCGCCTGCCTGGCCCCGCCGCGCCTGCCTGGCCCCGCCGCGCTTGCCTGGCCCCGCCGCGCCTGCCTGGCCCCGACGCGCCTGCCTGGCCCTGCCGCGCCTGCCTGGCCCCGCCGTGCCTGCCTGGCCCCGCCGCGCCTGCCTGGCCCTGCCGCGCCTGCCTGGCCCCGCCGTGCCTGCCTGGCCCCGTCGCGCCTGCCTGGCCCCGCCGCGCCTGCCTGGCCCCGCCGCGCCTGCTTGGCCTCGCTGCGCCTGCCTGGCCCCACCGCGCCTGCCTGGCCCCGCCGCGCCTCCCTGGCCCCGCCGCGCCTCCCTGGCCCAGTCGCGCCTGCCTGGCCCCGCCGCGCCTGCCTGGCCCTTCCGCGCCTGCCTGGCCCCGCCGCGTCTGCCTGGCCTCTCCCACTGCCCGCCCGACCCAACTTCGTGCCTGCTCGTCGTGCTGTGCCACCTCGGGCTATGTCTACTCTGCTCGCCAGTGCTGGGGTGCCTCGCGGCCGCCGTGCTGGAGAGTGCTGCCGCCGTGTCCCTGCGTCGCTGTGTTCCTGTGGAGCTGTGCCGCTGACCCTACACGATGGCTGACTTCGTGCTCCGATTGGACGCCGAGGGCCATGCGGTTGACTTCGCCGCCTGGCTCTCCGATCTCCGCCGCCACCTTACATGTCAGCGCCAGGATGGCCACTCTTTGGTTGTCCATGTCGATGGCTTGCTCCCCCGCCCCCCTGCCCCTGCTCCCCTCCCTGCTGATCCCTCCTCTGATGACCATGAGGCCTTCTCTACTACTGCGCTTGCCTGTGCGGTCTGAGACTCCCGCGATGCAGTAGCTCAGGTTGCTATTAGTCACGCCCTCCCTATGTCTGAGCGCTCGCGTTTTGCTACTGTTGAGATGGCCAAAGCTTACTTAGACGCCGTTATTGCTCGCTATTCCACACCCGCGTCTGCTTCTGCTGGCCGCCTGCTCTTCCCTATGCTTTTCCTAGACCTTGCAGCCTTCCCTACCGTCGCAGATTTTGCCACTCACCTGCGTGCCCTAGAGACCCGCTATCGTACTGCCAGCACTGCTGCCCAGCTCACTGTGCTCCCCCCCCCTTTCTGCATGACGCTCTATTTTATCGCCATGCGCCTGCCAGACCGCCTCGCAAGTTCTCGCGATCACTTCCTTAGCCAGCACCCGGGTGACCTCACCCTCACCGCCTTTGTCGATACCCTCACCGAGATCGAGACTCGCCAGCGCACTATCGCTCGGTCGAGCGGTGCGCCGGCAGTCTCTATCTTTCACGGTTCTGCCCCCTCCCAGTGCACGTTCACTGACGTTTCGGCTGCGGTCGCCACGGCGACCCCTCTCACCGAGACGGCTGCTGCGGTCCACCCGCTGCAGCGCTCGCGCCGCGGTGGCCGTGGTCGCCAGGGAGGTAGGGGTGGTGGCGCAGGTGGTGGTGGTGGTGGTTGTGGTGACGGTAGTCCGCCAGCGGGGACTACCATTGGTGGGCAGGAGCAGCAGCCCCAGCCGCAGCAGGAGTAGTCCCAGCGGGGACTACCATTGTATTCTGACGCTTCTAGTGTTGCTGGATCTTATTACCCTGTGAACTCTAGTTTAGGTGTTGCACCATTGTGTAGCTTAGCCTCCCCTGCTGCGTCAGGCGTAGGACTGCATAGCTTGCCTAGTCTAGTCGCTGCACCGGCTCCGTTCCCGGCCTCCGCCACTGCGTCGCTGTCCTTCACTCTCGACTCCGGTGCTTCTGCCTGCTTCTTCCGCGACCGTTCCACGCTCACGCCGCTTGCTACGCCAGCTGTCGTCTCTCTCGCTGACCCCTCTGCGGGTCCTGTCGTCGCTCGCAGTTCTACGTCCCTTCCCTGTCCAGCAGTTCCCTCGGGCTCCCTTACAGGTCTCCACGTTCCCTCGTTCTCGAGGAACCTAGTTGGTGTCGGCTGTCTCCAGGACCTCGGCGTCACCACCACGTTCTCCGGGCACGAGCGGTTCGCTGTCTGTTCTGAGGCTGTCTCAGGTTCCCCCCTTGCGACGTTCCCCCGGGACCCGGTGTCCGGTCTGTTTACCCTAGACACCGCTTCCCCCCCGGTTGGTGCTTCCTCCCAGGTCGCTGCAACTTGCTCGTGTCGGTCCCTCACTCACCCGTCCCTTCTCTGGCACCACCGCTTAGGTCACCCTGCTCTCCCGCGTCTGCGTCACATGTCCCAGCACGGTCTTGTCTTAGGTCTCCCCACGTCGCTCCCTGCCCTTCCTCCCTTGACTGCGCCACCGTGCACGCCTTGCGTCGAGGGTCGGCTCCGCCGTGCTCCTCACTCCTCCTCGCTGCTCGCTGCCCCCCTTCAGACCCTGCACCTGGACGTTTGGGGCCCTGCCCCCGTCCTCGGACCGCGCGGTGAGCGCTACTTCCTTGTGCTCGTCGACGACTACACGCGCTACACCATGGTGTCCCCCCTGGAGCGGAAGGCCGACGTGCCCGACGTTCTTCTCCCGTGGGTTGTGGCTGAGCGTCTCCACCGCGGTCTCCCCGTGTTGTGTCTCCACTCTGACCATGGCGGCGAGTTCGCCTCTGGTCGGCTTGGACAGTTTGTCGTGCGGAGGGCATCACCCAGTCGTACACCTTGCCGGACTCCCCACAGCAGAATGGGGTTACTGAGCGCCGCATCGGCTTGGTCTTGGAGGTCGCCCGTACCCCATGATTCATGCCGATGCCCCCCATTTTCTGTGGCCGTTCGCTGTTTGCTACGCTGCTCACCAGCTTAATCTGTGGCCACGCTCCCAGCGGCCGCAGGTTTCGCCGACCCTCCTTTGGACCGGGTCCCCCGATGACGCGTCTGCGTTCCACGTCTCGGGCTGCCTTGCTCACGTTCGTGCCTCTGGCACGGACAAGCTCACTGCCCGCACTGTCCCCTGTGTCTTCCTCGGTTTCCCCCTGGACTCGTCTGACTGGCTTTTCTACCACCCGCCATCTCACCGCTTCCTCCACTCTCGTGACGTCACCTTTGACGAGTCTGTCTCCTTCTACCGCCGCTTCCCTCACCGAGGACTCCCGGTTGCCCCTCCCCTGTTCCTGGCTCCCTCTCCCCCGGTAGCCCCTGCTCCTCTCCCGCCTCGTCCTGCCCCGTCTGGTGTCTCTCACGTCACTCCCCTCCCATCGGTTGTCCTCGTTGAGGAGTCTGCTGACTCTGGTGGTCCCCCCAACCCGTCCTTGCCGCGTCCCCCTTCCCAAGTGTCTCCGCCTTCCCTGCCGCAGTCGCCGTCACCGCCGCCGTCGCAGTCGCCGTCGCCGTCACCGCCACCGCCGCAGCCGCCATCTCCGCCGCCGCCGCTGCCGCCGTTGGCCTCTGGGGGTGCTGGCGTTGAGGAGGGTGTTCGTCCTGTGGCTCCCGGGGGTGCCGCTGGAGTTGGAGGGGGTTCTTGCTCTGGGGGTGTTGGTTCTGGGGAAGCTGCTGTTGAGGGTTCCGCCGACGGTCGTTTTGACTCTGCCGGTCCGAGGGTTCCGGCCCAGCAGTCGCAGCAGCCGTCGCCGCCGGTCTCAGCTCTCCGCCTGCTCGGCCTTCCCTCCCCGGACCGCGCGCCGGTGTCTCCCTCACCGCCTGCTGACCTTCCTATGTACGGTCCTATGTTCCCGCCGCCGGACTCGTCTCCGGCCCGTCTTCCTCCTCGTTCCCCTCCTATGTCCCCTCCGCTGTCCTTTGACCCTACACCTCCAACTCACGTTTGGGCTCGCCGTCCCTCCCGTGCTCGTTCCGTCTCTCCTGTCCTGCCCACCCACCCTATGTTGCTCCATTCCCGCTCGTCTCGTCCTCCCCTCCTCCCGTCCCCTCATCCCTCGTCCCTTGCTGTTGCACCTCCTCCGTTCTCTGACTACCTCCGTGCCGCTCGTCCCCTTGTCCCTCGGGTCCTTGCCTCTCTTGTTATCGACCCTGCTGTTCCTGTCTCACGCCTTGACGCGCTTGTCGCTGCTCTCGCTGACTTTGCCTCTACCCGCCGCCTTGACTACGCTACCGCTCTGCTCAGACCCTGCCCGTCCTCCGTCCGTCGGGGGTGCTCCTGCCCTTGGCAGTGACGTCCTAGAGGACAGGCAGTACGAGCATGCTTTCCTTTCTGAGGCTGCTCCCCATCTCTGCTCCATGCTGTTAGTCCCTGAGGGTGACCCAGACGCCTTCGACATCCCGACCCCTCGCACCTACGCTGAGGCCACCTCGGGACCTTGGGCCTCTCAGTGGATAGCTGCCATGGAATAGGAGATGGCATCTTGGAGGTCCACTGGCACTTACGTTGACGCAGTTCCCCCGCCTGGGGTGAACGCAGTCGATGGTCAGTGGCTCTTCAAGGTGAAGCGCTCCCTTGGAGAGCCGCCTGTCTTCAAGGCGCGCTACGTGGCCAGAGGTTTCAGTCAGCGCGAGGGGGTTGACTTCTTCCAGACCTTCGCCCCGACCCCGAAGATGACCGCTCTTCGGGCACTGCTACATGTAGCAGCACGGCGCGACTACGAGCTTCACTCCCTCGACTTCTCTACTGCCTTTCTTCAGGGCAGCCTACACGAGCAGGTCTACCTGCGCCGACCACAGGGCTTCACTGGTACCTTCCCCCCTGGGA